GACAACATTTTCGCTAAGGAAAAAGTTGTTTCAAATCACCTCCCGAACCACCTCTTTCAAGCCGTTACAACATTGTTGGGACACCCTGTATGTAGAGTAGTATACATAGATCCGCGAGTATCGAGACACTCACCCAACGTGGTTCGTAAAACAATCCATAGCGAGCGATAAAGTTTGGCTGTTGAGCTTTGGGGAACTTGGCTGGATACGACTGTCTTCGCAACGGAGAGGTCGTGTGGACAACTACTTCAACCAGAGCTACGCGAGAAACTCATTTCGAAGCGCCGCATCAGTTGTCTTCGCGCTCCTGTGTCGCGACCTCCCACTACTTGCAGGAAGAACAAGTTGCAGAATTGGAACGTTCCTTCTTAACTCGATGTTAAATTGTATACAGTGAGTGGACGCCGGTTCCTTTTTTCTGCAAATAGCAATTTCGTTAGAGATTTCGGAAAGAAATGGTAGCGGGAAGGTAGAAATTGTAATAGAGGTTTAAAACATGCTTTTCTAAAGGAAAATTGAAGTGAAACGGACCTTTTTATTTAAGGACATTCTGTACCTCCATTTGGAATGGTATTCTATAGAATTATATTGACTGAAAAATCTGAAGAATCTGAAAAAAATATACCCTTGTAGGGGATGATAAAACAAAACTTTTTTGTATTTACAGTTTCTTCATACGACGTTTAGTTTCTGAGATAAAAATTCAAAACTTAGAAGACATTTTTCGCCTGAATTCTATTTATTACATTTGCAATGGCGAAACTGAAGGTACCGTTAGTTGACAATTACTTATTTGATGAATTTGAAAAAATACCACCTTATAGGGGATGATGAGACGAAACTTTTTTGTATTTACCATTTATTCACACGACGTTCAGTTTTCGAAATAAAAATTCGAAACTTAGAAGGTCTTTTTTTTCCAGAACTTCGTTACATTTTCAATGGGGAAAGTGAATGCATCGTTAGTTGACAAATACTTATTTGATGAATTTAAAAAAAAATAGCACATTATAGGGGATGATAAAACAAAACTTTTTTGTATTTACAGTTTGTTCATACGACGTTTAGTTTTTGAGATAAAAATTCAAAACTTGGAAGACCTTTTTTCTCCACTGAATTCAATTATATTTGCAATGGTGAAAATTAAAGTATCGTTACG